TATATTCTCTTGGCTGCAAAACTGGCTGATTGCCTGTGTTTCATTTGTTACACTGCAACGTTTTCATCCATTCTTCTATTGGGTTCTGTTAATGCCCAACGGGTTCCTCCCATTTTTGAAGGTTAGGCGGGCTCGTACTTTTTTCATGCACAGAAAATGTTATACAATGGATTAAAAGTATTTGAAAAATACAGAGTGCAATGGAAAAGCAATTCACTTTAGGTTTAATCAAAGTCAGAAAGAAATTTTTTGTTCATACAGCATTATTTTTTTTAATAATTTCATGCTTCAGTCTTCAGTTACAGAAATGGAAAGCATGTCTTACTCAAAGATATGGTTCATCAAAATCTTGGCTAACATTTTGAGATGTTCATATTACTCAAAAGTTAGTTAAACTTGAGTAAATATGGCCTTCACAGTACTGTGATGGCATGAGACGGGTGCCCAGCAGGATCTCATGTGAAATTTAAAACAAGCTCTGAAAAAGACATAAAATAAATAAATTTTCAAAGCATTCTGCAACCCTCTTGCTTACATGAAGCACACAAATGTCACACTGTAACAAGTATAAATTTGCAGTGATTAAGTTGGCCAGCTGTTCATTACCTGAACAATTTTGAACCAAACTGTCATAAAAAAGGTTCAGCCCAGTGATTAAATATGGCTCAATATGGGACAAGGTGAGCTCTTTGCCTAATTTGTATGAGATTAACTTGGATTACTCCACTTGTGCTGGATACCTGAGATGTTTCTTCAGTTTTTCTGCTCAATAAAGCACAATATATGGGTACATTTATCTTGAATATTGTATTCTTATATTTTGGGCCTTTTAAATCTGTCTGAGAAAAAAAGTATCCACAGGATTGCAACTTGCAGGTATCCATGTTATTGGACTTGAAAAAGTATAAATTGAAATACAGATGGACTCTCTTCACAATTATCTTATCCACAACAAAGTTTTTTCCTGTATAACCATTTTTTGTTTCATAAAATTGTCTCCCCATGTCAAAGGTGTTTTCTAAGTGCTCATCACTTTCTCCACAAGAAAAGTCAAATGACCACAAAAATTTGTTGCAGATCGATTTTTGTTTTAGAGTTCACTGGTTTGAATTTTCCCCTTTTCTTGTGTTTGAATTGGAGAGGAACTTTTTTTAAATGGCAGTTGCCCCGCACAACAGACCTCCCAAACAACAGATTTTTGCACAAGAGACTGCCCCTTTAGAGGCAGATTTCCCTCCCAAACAAAAGACTAATTCCACATAACAGCTTCTGCTGGTTTAAAATTGAGCTCATGTTGATTTAAAATTATTGTTAAAAAGTAAAAATTTAATTTTTTTTTAATAAGGAAATTTGCATAAAAGACTTTTCACACAACAGACTAGCCTATTGCACAAGTGAAGTACGTTGTGCCGGGGGTAACTGGACCAGGTAAATTTTACCTGGTCAAAAGCCAATTTTTCTGTCTCACGTCCTTGGGGAATAAAAGCTGCAGGAACTTCCTGGCATTGCATAACATTATAGACATTATGGAAGCTTTTCTGAAAACAGGGGTGAGAAGTCTTCACACAAGTTATGCAAACAAAAAATTGATTTATGAAGTATTCTGATACAAATGTTGATTACTCAAATTCATTTTTGGCATACATTACGTTTCCTTTTCAACAAAACAAGCTTGTGTCATTTTTGGAAAAATAAGGCCGAAATGCACCAGATTGGCACACATTTTCTCAACCTGGATGATAACTTGTTGGTAACCTTGAGTGGGCTGGTACGAAATTGGGATTGAATGAGTTCAGCTGTTTAAGCAGTGGTGGGTATTTTGGTATGAAATGCTGTGTCATTCGAGAATTGGGAATAGACTGGGGTGCTGCTGTAAGGAAAATGGCACTCAATAAGGTCCAGCTCTCGAGGTGGTGCAGTAATCAATCACCAGTCAAATTCACCCTCAGCAAGCTGTTTATGTCGAACAATCATGAAGATCCTTGCACGCGATCTGATCGAAACCGAAATCAAGTGCTTCTTTTTTTCTTCTTAAAAATGTAAGAATTATTCGCAAAAATGAAATACGTTTTCTGCTGAATTATTCAAAGAATCAAATTTTACCTAGATTCGGACTGGAATGTGGGACATTCATGTGAAAACCCTGAGGGCTGGTTTTCCTTCAAAAAGACAAAACAGGAGGATTGTTAGACAATCAGAACGTGTCAAGAATTGTTCGGATATAACTTGTTCACTTCTTAATTAACTTTCTTTCGCTTGTTTCTAGGAGGAAATCTGTTCGGTCACTAGTTCACTTCCTATACAGTACAGTACTTCCATATTGATTCATGCAACTAGGTTAGAGGCTTAATATTATAAAGACGAGCCTGAAATAATTCCACAAGCTTTTCCAGTCAACCCAAATGTTTGGATCGATTTCGGTGCAATCAGTTGCACTGGGGTTTGTTCAGACACTATCTGAAAAAAGCGTCGCTCTCTAGATTAAATATTTTTTGGAATATGTTTGTATGAACATCTACGTTTCAAAATTGATCATGAAAAAAACCGGGAGAAATTACACTGCATGTGGACTGGAGGAAATCTCTTTAATTTTAGTCAATTTTTTAAATTTTATATAGCCTTGCATTTNTACTGGAAAACACTAGTGCGCATCTTACGTGTGGGCATGTTATAGTTTAGTGACACTCACGTTATGAATATGGTACAGTATTAGTCCAGAAGTATTCCCTTCTTTTTCTACAGACAGGGCTCGGCTCACATTCGAATAATAATCACTTCTGATGCAAAAACCAAAAGTTGGCGACTCACAAAAAATCACAGGGCTTTTTCTGTTGTTTTTGTGAAAACTTCAGGAAATAAAATAAGAAACGGACCGCGAGCACTTCTGGCAATGATGCTGTTGCTGCTGCCGCCTTGGACGAAGCAAAGCAGGAGACTGGCTTCCCCAACCGGGAAGCCTGCTTCATAATAGCGCATTCTGCATAGTATAGGTGCTTTGCTTGTGTGAACCCGCCAAGACTGACTCCAGGCGTCAGGAATGGGACCGCGGCTCACTTAATATTGGCGCCTCGCACCTGTTTGGGCTGCTGGGATTGAGCAGTGCACTGTACAATACTGTACTGTGAAATATATATGTAGTGCAGTGTTATGCAACCTTTTTGGGCCCACACACGAACAAATTTCCGTATAATTTTTCACAGACAGGAAAATTTCGAGAAAAAAATCTCTGCGGACCAGTGAAGTTGCATGCAATTTTTTCAGACTCGAAAATTCTGCTTCTGAAAAACTTTATGGCAGGTATTTGAAAAGTTTCTGAATTTTGCAAAAATTAAGTCAAGAACCAACAAAGCAGCTGGGATGAAATGCTTTGCAGAATTAGAAAGATACATTTGAAGAAAGGTTTTTCAGAATGGAAAATTAAGTAATTGATATACCAGCAGGTGAAAACTTTTTGGAAGTTTTATTAATAGAGAAGCCAACTTTTAATTTCTAGCAGACAAGTTGAACTACCATTGCCTTTGTGAAATTTCAGATAAAGATAGAAGACCTCATTACTACTTTTGATATACAGTATGTTATATACTCAAGAAAATCTCCTGTGGACCAGCAAAAACACTTCTGCAGACTGGTGCCATGTCTACAGACCGCAGAGTTGGGGACCGACACTGTTGCTGTAGTGTACGGAGTACACTACAGGCTGTGCCTGAGTGCTCTGTATATATGCATATACAGTTATATCCCAAATTATATCCAGAAAAATATCCTAAATTTCCTGCGGAAGAATTAATTGGGAAATTCGCTTACAAAGTCTGTTTTTGAGTTTTGGTACAAGAGGAAAAGAAGTGTGCATGTCATAGGCAAGCGTACATGAACATTTCCAGCTTTCTCAAGCTCACATCATGCTTGAATTGCGGGACGTTCTAGACCCATTTGAAAACATGAATTTTAAAAATCAGAATTCAATGAAAAAGCATTTTAATGTAGGTTCAATTCAAGTCACAATACGTCAAATTTGGATATGTTTATCTTTGAAACATCGCAATTTTCATCACAGAAACTGGGGCTTGCATCTTATCTGGAGAAAGGTTTTAATCCAAATTCTAGGCTGAAAATTGGAGGTGCGTGACTTCCTTGAGGGGCATGTGGTACTTCAGTAAACAGGGTATTTCATTATTTTCTTTGAACATACGTAAAAGTGTGTACAGTACCCAATTTCTCCCTAAAGCCTGGGTGGAAAACATTGAAGAAATTTGAGGTATTCTTGAATTGTATTGATTGTTTTCTTTCTACAATTTTGTTTGTTTGTCGCTGAACATCAGTCTGCTGGAAACAGAAATAAATGGCACTGAATCCAAACGGATTTGCGTGATAAAAATATCGAGGGTGTATACTGATGAGTCAGGGGATATAAATTTCCCTGCTGTACACTTCGAAGACATTATTAAACTCAAGAAACAAAACTGGAAATAGGCAGAACAAACAAAATACAAAGGAATCGTAAGCCTTTTCTTTCATCAAATTCCTGACTCTCCGCCTTTTGTTCCTCCGTTTGAACCGAAAAAAAACACATGATACAAGGCAAGCATCAATGATAAGAATGAATCTATTTTTGGATTCCCTAGCCTTGTTTAAAACAATTTTTTGCGATAATATAAATGCTAAGAAACCGAAAATTTAACGCAAACGGAGCTTGTCACTCCGAAAAAAAGGGAACAGTGTATATAAGGACTTCGCACTCAAAGAACAAAAAAAAAGGAGCGAAGTCTTCATCTGTTGAAGAACGTAACTAAAAACAAAAGCACGGCAGCGAATAAATTGGCAGAGATTGTCACACCGGAATTGCAGCGCATCTTCTCGTGAGTGATTTCGTATTCCACTTGGTTCGGGAACGTGCAAGTTCGAGTATCTGCAAACAATCGAAAGTATGGCCCATTATTTAAGACAAGTTTTTCTATGAATATTGGGGGATATAAGAAACTGACGTCCTAATTTTTTGTATGTGGACATTTTTGGGACCAACTCATACGTGAGCGGGGACTGAATTAAATTATGTCGAGAATAAAGGTCTAAAATAATTAGCAGATGCAAAACTACAAAATCCGAAGTACAGTATTTCTCCTCATCAATGTAGAAGAGCCTTGTTTTATTCAATGTAGATAAAGACTTTACCCACGACCAATGCGTTTAGGATATTATCTAGAAATGTTTTTGCAAACCTATATATAAAGCTTTGACGCAATTTAAAATTGAAATGCCTCATTATTTGAAAATGAAATCCGTACGCATCAAGATGACTTTAAGTGGTGAAAAAATAAAGTAAGAAAAGACATTAAACAGTTTACATGCAGAACTGTTTTTTTTTGTGATTGGACCTTTAACGATATTTTTGTAATGATTTCATCATCACGGTTCCTTTTTTCAATTCATATAATTTGTAACCCGGGATGAATAAACTTCCAAATGTAGCTGACGATGGTAAAACGAATAGCTCGATTAATTTTCGGCACCATTGATACAAGTATACTTCCCGTTGAAAAAAAAATTATTTTCGCAGAAATCTTGAATGCAAAAACACGTTTTGGTACATCAGATATACGAGGGTCTAACAAAAGTTTTCGGAATAAAAATTGAAATGGCATAGGGTTCAGCTCAAAAAAAGTATCATTTAGAGAAACTTCCCTTGCTGGCGAAAGAAAAAAAATGCCTACCTGTTTGAAATATTTTTGGATCATTCTTGTCGAATAATTGTTTTTTGGCTCAATGACGTGACATTTAAATTTTTATCCCGAGAATAGCACGTAATATATGACTCATACACGGGGTACATAGAAGTAAACCAATCTTTCTCTGAAGCGGAATATCTCAAATATTCGAGCAAACTCATATTTTACCAAACACTACACGAATATGTAGAGAATTTTGTCGTATCAATTACTCGTTTTTTATATCCAGAATATACCTTGAAACATTTTTACTCCATCATCCAACTGCCAATATGGCGATATACGTTACGAATATCTTTAAGAAATTATGCTTGACGATGGTTCGGGAAACCTTTTTATTTATTTATTCATCATTTATTCATTTGTTTCCAAAACGTATACCAACCACTGCACGTGGGATTGTACACGGACAAATCCACACTCGGGTCCGTTTGGAAGGTCAGGTAAATCGGGTCGCATTCCCTGCCACACTTGGGTTTCACGTCGAACGTCACTGACGTGTCAGAAGCATCCAACACCTTGCCGCACTTGATGTCCCCGCTGTCGCGCTCGTCAAGCGACCTCATGGCACACACATCCACCGGCAACTTGGAAATGAATCTGATCTGTAAAAAGGTTCCCGACGACGAGGGGGAAATGGAAATAAATAAATAAATAAGCCATCAGATCGTGTCTCCATGTCCATAGTACATATATATAGGGTAATAGTAAACAGTGCAGGTAGTCATCATTGATCACATGTAGCAGGGTAATTGTCCAGACTTTTTTTTTTACATTGCTGGCAGAAGGGAGAAGTTATCTCCTGAACCAGCATTTCCTTAGCAAATTGCAGAATTAAAATCTGATTTCAATCCACGCTGGAAAAAAACGAACTTTTAATTCACAGAATTAATCATTGGCTGGGGATTGTGAGAAAAAATTGAGAAAATTTCAAATTAACACCTCGATTATGCCACCACCCAAAAGTATTGCATTTTTTTTTTACAAGAAAGCTGATCAATACAAAGCTTTCACCAGATCTGAAAGACATACTGTAATATTTGTCTACGCAACACTATTTTCAATTTGTAAACTCTTGTGAAAATCTTTTGCAAACTGTGAAATGAGGGGAAAACTCTGATCATCACTGAACAGCGTTTATGATCCATTATGAAAGCGCCTTGAAAATCTGAAAAAATCGAACGCTTGCTAATACAGTATCATGAAAGAAATTATGACATGTTTATCCTTGGGTAGTGATGTTGGGATTTTTTTCGTTACAACTTTTCTTGACAATGGGACAGAGTTTAAAGAAACAGGACTGTGCATGGAGAGAAAAGCCCAGAAAAATCTCGGTTTATTTTTTGTTCAGCTCAGAAAAATCAGGCTCATAATTTAATATTTTTAAAGCATACTCAAGGCAGAGTTTTTTTGTTACCCCCTGGCTTGGGGAGTCTCGGTCGTTCCTTTGTCATTCGCGATATATCCAAGGATCTTGAGGGTCTAACTTTTTAATCTTGAACGTTTAATCCTTGAATTTTGAGCTTTCAATGTCTGAATTTTGGGGGCTTGATTTTTGAATCTTTAGGGTTTAATTTCTAAATTTTGATTGTTTAATTTAGAATCTTAAGGGTTTAATTTTTTTATTTAATAATCCCAGTTAGAGACCACAACTGATGAACATGGACTTTATTATTTGCCAGCAACTACTGCTAATCACCAGATTAATCTCAACTTTGCCCAGTACCACCTGCCTGGGTGGCGCTGATCTTGCAGAAAAAAAAAGAAAATAAATGCAGTATAGCATAAAAAAAAATATTGACTCCCCTCCCCCCCCCCCCAACCATATGAAAATTG